ATGAACAAATTTGTGCATCAAGGTGTAAATCTTGATCTATGAAAAAGTGAAGGTGTCAATTTCAATTTAGCCCTCCAAAGTATCAATACAATTCTAAAAGTGAACAAATTCTTGGAGTTTCATTCAAATAAGCCTTTCTATCAATCTTGTTTGGTCATCAATGTTTAACCAAACTTTAGTAGTATACTGAAATCTTATCAATTTTTTTTAAGAAATTTAAAACGATTAACCACCCACCTAAATGAGCTTAATGGGATACAATATATAGTACTGCTATTCTATCACATTTTAAAAATTGAACACAGTAGCAAAACCCTTTTTTTTTTTTACTTACAAATGCGAAGAGTAGTATTTAATCCTTTTTAGCTGCTAAAAGATAATTGTTTAAAGTCCCTAAAAAAATGGTAGACTTCACTTTTACCACTAAAATTAAGTCAAACATTATTGATCACGTATGAATTGGTGAAAGAGCTCCTTCGAACAAAAATTCCAATTGAGAGAGTTCAATTTGGAGTAATTATTCAACTTTTGAAGATTAAATGGATACATCCATCTACTTTGGAAAGCCAACTGAATCTCACTTAAAAGTGAATGACTCAGAACTCGTAGCTTACAAAAAATGCTTTAATGAGTCGAACTTTTAATCAAAGTACTTATTAAGTGCTTAATCATATTGTTTATCTGCATACTTGCACGAGTATTTTTTCTATTTGATAATGTACAATTCCGAATTTTAGAAATGTATTCATCTCTTCATTTAGTTCAAATTTATAATAAAATTGTTAAAGTTATTGTTTTATTTTTTTTTAAAACACAAAGGTTATATATCTTAGAAGCATCGATTTTGAATTTGTCCTAGAAGTGCTTTTACGTCAAATACTTTACTTCCAAATTCAATGTATGATACTAACCAAATACATATAAAGTCCTTTTATCCTCCACAAGCACTTTAGCACTACAGCCTTAAACGGACTCTAAATAGTTAGCTTCTGTGCAAAACCAATTTGAATTCTTTAGACAGTAAACCCACTAAGATTTTTACGCCCACTATTTTCTACAATGACCCAAAGAGCAACTTGCTCATGATATATTAGACTTTTTTTCCATTTATGCTTTTTTAACATTTTTCATTTTGCAGTCCTCCTTTTTTTTGTAAGGAAGTTTTTTGTTCCTTATAAATTAGCTTGTTTCAATTAAGAAATTTCAACTTTTATGTCTAATACCTTTGGTGTGTTAATTTAAGGTTCTTCAATTTTCATAAATGCATTAGCATAAAACCAGAAATTAATCTTCTGTACATCAACGATATAAACATTAGCAGGTTGGATGTATGTACAAGTCTAAAAATTTGAATTTTAAATTCAAATTAAGATCAGTTGTCATGATCCAATTAACTCGACATTTTATACACTGAAAGTGTATAAAAATGTGAAAAAAAAATTTTGATACCTATATAAAAAAATATATATATATATATATATGTGTGAAGGGAGGAATTTATTCCTAATTAGACAAATACAGAGCACATTTGGCTTTCATATTGAAACCAATATAAAATTTTATGTATAATTGCCTTTTAAACAACCAAGATTTTCTCGAGAAAATTTCCTCTCGCCCTTCTCGAACAACAAAGGACCTTGTATATAACCCATAAGATTTTGTAAATTAAAAATCTAAACAAGTAAATTACCAAAACTTTATCAATATAAGAATTTCTAAATATATAATAGGAAACTTTAACTTAAAGAGTTACGTTGAATTATGCCAATAATACCTTCCTTAAGCCAAACTTTTCATGTACAAGCCCCTGACCATAATGCCATTGAAATATTTACACTTCCAAATCTTTGCTATGCTATAATGTAACTAAATATTTCAATTTTGGGTAAATTTTTTATATATACTAATAGTATATACACTAGCAAGTTAAATACATGTTACAACTGTGAAATTTGATATTGAAATTGAAATTGAAATTGAAATGATGTAGCACACATCCAAACAATATTCATAAGCAATAGTATTAGAAGACTCTCTTTTTTATCTCTACCATATAAGTAAAAAACAACATTCACGAAGAATATGTTTCTTTGATCATTGTCCAACACAAATGGGGTAAAAAACAAAAAAGTCCCCTGTGATAAACCTAATACACAGAAAAACCCCCCATGATTTTAAAATATACAACATGACCCCTCATGCTTTGAATTAAATTGTAAAGGTGACGGAATCCGTTAAACTTAACGGAAATGAACAAAATGACCAAAATGCCCTGATATAATAAAGCAAAAGGCAACTCAAAAAAATCATTTGTTTTATTCTCTAAATAGAGAGAATTGAGCGTTAAGGGGTAGAATAGGTATATTTGATAAAAATTAGGTATAAAATTTTTTTTTAAGTTCCAATAAGTCATTTCCATTAAAATTTAACGGATTCCGTCACCTTTACAATTTAGTTCAAAGCATGAGGTGCCGTGTTCTATATTTTGAAACTATAAGGGGTTTTTCTGTGTATTAGGCTTATTACAGGGGGCTTTTTTGTTTTTTACCCAACACAAATGCAATAATCTCGAGATGATCCCTTTGTACTAAAGCTAAATTCCATGCCCAAATTCCCAACAATCTAGCACCCGAAGTCCAAGGTTAAAGAAAATTCTCATGCAAATTCAGGGTTAAAGAAAATTCTCATGTAAATTCGGTTTATAGAGCATATAACCTCGTCAAGCTTGGATTTGTAGGCTTATAGCATCACAATAAAAACTTTCATATTAATCTTTTGATAGTAACAACATGAAATCTTTTGATTTTTTATACTAACTGGTTTGAATGTACGAGAATTTAAGCCCTATCTGATAATCCAATTCAACATTTAAAATTAATAGATTCAAATCTTAACATGTTCGAATGCGTTTGATAATCAAAAAATAAAACATCTGAATTAATTAACTGCTATGCAAAACTTATTCTAAAAGATAAGTGATAAACTATTCACTTATCATTTAGGTCTGGAATGGGGTTGCAGTGCTTTTGATAAAAAAGTATTTTTGGGTGCTAAAAACACTTTTGATGTGTTTGGTGAATTTCACTCATAAAATTAGGAGTGGAGTTTTTAGTGTTAAAAGCATTTTTAGCAAAAGTTAAAATTTGATGCTTTTAGAATAACTTTTGTTTAAAAAAAATAAAATATTAAATTTAATCACTTTATCCTATATTATAAACTAAATAAAAAGAAAAATGTATTTAAAAAAATTAAAAATCACAGATTATGCAAAACAATAAGTACTTATTGAATTATATATCCAAACAATATATTTAAAAGTACTTAAATACTTAATAAGTGCTTTTATTAAAACTACATTAGATGAAGTACATTTCAATAAACTACCGCAATCCCAAACGGGTCTCAATGTGATATATACTCAAATAATTTAATGAATTTAGACTTTAAATTTTTAATTTTATCAAATGCATCGCACCCTCAGTCTACCTTAAAAGTTAGGCTGTTAAAAAAGCCTTTGTAATCGTCCCACAGATTTTTCCAAGGTTGAAAGAGGTTTTACTTCGAGAGCAAATTAGGGCCCTCATATCTCCACAAAGTGCTTTTCAGAGTCATACGGGAGAAGACAAATAGAATCTTACCTTATCACTCTCTTAGTGGTGTTACTGAAGGCCCAAATGCATGTCAATCAATACCATGACTACCCGTCTTTTAGCTTAGGCGACATAGGTTCCTTTTGTTGGTTTTGCTTATGGGCTCAGGGCCCAGGTTAAAGGCGTCCCGTTCTAACGTTACGCGCCTTTGAGAGGACCCGACACCCACCCGACATTGACACAACCTTTTTATAAGTAGTTTCTCTGAAGGAACCAAAATACAGCCTATACAAGGTTACTGTTTACTCAAAAATAGATTAGAAAATCATTCTTCATAATTTTGACACGTGTATGAGGCCTTATCAATATCCTCGCTTTTGCCCCTATTATAGGTGTAATTCAATACTGATGTCATAAAATATAAGTGGAAAAAAAAGTTTTCTAAAAGTTCTTTAGGATGATGTTGAATTATTGCAGTCAAATTTGAAAATCTATGGGCCAAAGCTGAGGCTCTTGGTCTGTCCACTGAAATTACAATTGCATACCGCAGTTTACGTCAGATCCGCCTTGTAGTCTTAGATTGTATTTGATAATTTAATTGAACAATTAATTTAATGGGTTTAGACATTAATATGTTCAGATGCGTTTGATAAAAAAAATAATATATTTTAAATAATTAAGTAGTTCTGAATTACTTAGGCAAAATTTATTTAAAATAATAAGTGATAAACTGTTCACTGATCATTCAACATATGCTATGACCAAATGTTAAAGTTTCAGTACTTAACAATTCAACAATTTAACAGATTCATATTTCAGTTTTGAAACTTCAGTTTTATCAAAATCAGATGCACCCATATAGAAGTAAAAAGTGCCCCACTCAAAAAAATTTCTATCTATATAGGAACTTTGTTTTCAATTGTTTTTAAGAAATATCATTGGCTTGGACATAAGTCTATTAAGGGTATACATAGAGGTCAATGAAACATTTAATTGGTCATTGCTCTATTACCCGTTGGAATTCTAGCTTGTAACTTACTTTCTCTTAGTTCTAGCCAAAACATGATAAAGTAAGCGAAATTTGGACGTACGATTTAGTTTAACTCGAAAGAAATAAGAGTCTCCTTACCAGATTACGTATAACAAAGATTCGGAAATAGGGGTCGGTTTGGCAAAGGAGTTTTTTACCTAGTTTTTCTCCAACAAATTTTTTAACAATTATAACTATAATAATCTCAAAAAACTTCTTAAAATGTTTAAAACACACACTTTAAAATACCCAAAAATATACAAAAAAATTTTCCTTCTTTCATTTCTTTTTCTTCCTCCCCCACCTCAACCCACCACCACTGCCCACCTCTTTTTTTTTTTCTTCCCTCTCCCTCTCCTTATGCTTCTCCTTCTCTCTCTCTCTCTCTTTCCTCCTTCCTCCTTCCCTTTTACCCCTTTCCTCCTCCCTCCTTTTCTCTCCTTAACACACCACCCTCCCCCTCATCAGTTGCGTGATTTGGTCGTGGTCACGCGACCAAATCGTGCAAGGGGAGGAGGAGGGTGGCGGGGAAGGAAGAGGGGAAGGGGGAGCAGCCACGGATTTAAGGGGGGGCTGGTGGGGGCTTAAGCCCCCCCCTGCAGGTCTAGTCCTGAGGTTGGTTCCAGTGAAATTTGATGCCAGACTTTAAGCTGGACTTTAGGCCGGACTTCTGTCTGATCTTTTGCGATTGCTTGGCGCAGGTTTAGTTTATCTAGGATTTTTTTTCTTGTGTTTTTATTTCCTTTACAGTGTAGGACTGTTTAGCCTATAAATATGTATATCAAGGTTTTTTTTTTTTATATATAATTAGTCTTTATCAATTATTATACCAAACTTGGTTGGTTTTTATCAATTGTTGAGAGTTTTTTTCTCATTTTTTTTGAATCTTTAATTTGTGCCTTAGGGTTTGATCGTGAATCAACCCTTCTCGTTTCTCGGAAGTTAGCACGAAATTGCTTAGTTGCATAGCATGTCTTGATCCAAAAAGTTCTTTCTCTCAATTCAATGTGCAGAAACTACTCCGTCTTGCTAATTTATATCCTGAAGACTTCTCAAGTAACGATTATTTATATCTTGAGTCTCAACTTCGAAATTATATTTATAATGTGCAACGCGATCCTCAATTTTCAGAAGTTGGAGATTTGGGAAGTCTTGCTCAACAAATGGTTAAAACTGGTAAAAATACAGTTTTTCCATTGGTTTATCGTCTGATCCAGTTGGCATTAGTTCTACCAGTTGCGACTGCTTCTGTTGAAAGAGTATTTTCTGCAATGAATATTGTCAAGACTGATTTGCGCAACAAAATGGGAGACGAGTGGATGAATGACTGTCTGGTTGTATACATCGAGAAGGATATTTTTGCAACAATTGAAAATGAGCAAATATTGCAGCGTTTTCAACGGATGAAGACTCGCAGAATGCAATTGCCTCCTCTTCGTTATTCGAGTGCAACAACTACCAATACTTCAAGTGTTAATCAATAACAAATTTTTGGGTATGTATAATTATATGTTTTTATTATTTTTATAATTATTGATTCTAAATTTTACTTATTAAATATATTTATTTCGTCACAAAAAAAAAATTTTTAATACACTTCAGCCCCCCCAAAAATAAATTTCTGGCTCCGTCCCTGAGGGGGAGAGAGGTGGCAGGGGAGAGGGGAGGGACGGAGGAGAGGGAAAAGGGAGAAGGAAGGACGAGAGGGAGAGGGAGAGGGAGAGGAGGGGGAGAAAGGAAAAACAAATAAATTATGCTACTGGTCAGCAGTGGAGGTTTCGGCATTGGCGGCCGGCGAGTGGTGAGGCGAGAGACAAGATGAGGAGAGGAAAGAAAAGGAAAAAGAAAGAAAGAAAAAGAAAAGAAAAAAGAAAAAAAGTTTTACATCTTAATTTTTTTTTTTTTTACAAATTCTACAATAAATTATAGTAAAGTTTTATATAAACACCAAAAAAGTTCATTTGCCAAGCAAGTACCTTTTAGAGACACTTTGCACCTTTATGATATAGTTTTGAATTTAGTAGATTTCTCGCACTTGTACTCCATGCTATATATGAAAATGGGATAGTCTTAATATAGCAAGATAATATATAAAAAGTCTCGGGGCCTTGTTTTCTCTGCTGTTTTAGATTTTACAAAATTTGATTATGAAACATGATTATAAAGAATAATGAAAATCAGTAAAAACTATTCTCTAATTGATTATGAATTTTAGTTTCTTTATTATTAAAAGGAATCTATAATCTAATTATCCAAAATCAGATTGTATAATTATTTAAAATAATAGAACAAGAGCCAACCCTCGCACACTTTGCTACATATGAAAAAGAGTACTCAACCATGAAGGTACTCCATGGCCATGAGGTGGTTACGGTTCGATTTTTTGCCAAACCGTCAGAACGGGGTTGGGCCACAATTTTGTCCAATGAGTTGAGTACCCAAGCCATCAATACCTATAATTAGTGTTTTTTTTTTTTGTGGTAGAAAATCCATTAGGTCCTTTTACTTTCAATTCCATATATAAGCAATGTCTCCGAAAATGCCAGATTTTTTTTTTTGGACCCAAAACATGCCCCGACTCGAGCCACTTTGAACCCGAGCCAACACACCAAACCGGAGGAATATGCCACGGCCACACACGACGCACTCCGGGCGAAAAATACCAGATTGTTGACAAAGTATTAGTAGTATGCTGGCTTTCAGGAAAAGCATTAGTATTAGGCCTTCATTTCAAACCCCCCAAAAAAAATAAAACACAAGAAAGAAAAAAGAGAGATGAAATCATCAAACTAACTAATAAACTTCTCATGCCAAAGGCAAAAGTTCTCAAGGAAAGAGTAATAATTATTGCTAAGTAACATAGTTAACGTGTAAATGACATATGCTACCCATAGGAACTAGAAAAGATCAAGGCCAATCTTCCCACAAGAAAGCGGTCTTCAAGAATCCTTGGTGTAACAGCTGCAAGAACCAATTAGAAATGGAAGAAAGAGGGTACTTTCAATGACTGTTTCAAGAAAGGAACTAAAGATGGAAAGAATATTGGTTCACATGACCAAAGGATACATCCCTTTCCTGCTATACATGTGCCATAAATAAGCAACATATTTCTAAAGCATCTGAACTTTATATCAGATCAGAATGCCAAACCAACATGATAATTGACAATTATAGTGACAGCACAACACCTGCATAATACAACAGCAAGCACAACACAATAATCCATAAACTGTAAGTATCAGTCTGAGTTCCTAAGGAATTAGAAAGTCCCCATCATATGGATAAACGATACCGTACCGTGTTCTTGAATGATCTTATCAGCAAAGTACCAGAAAATAGACAAACAATTTAGCCGAAGAAAACCTGGAAAAAAAAGAGCATAAATTCATACAAGAAAGCAGGCAGTTTTAACTGCAAATTATGCAAAATAAAGCTATCAAAAGCACTCAACTGGAGCAATATGAACATGGCAAATTGAGAAAATTTTCTTTTCCTTTTTTCTTTTTTTTTTACCGTCATCTATTAGCTTAATTTTCCGGGCCAACCATTGATAGCCATAAACTTTGCAAATAGGTACTGAAACAATCAACGTTGTGCAGACACAGAAAGAACTTGACAGAATAAGTACAATGCAATAAAATATTGTGAATAAATATGAATAAAGGCAACTGAAAGATTTGGCAAAAATGGTATTGCAGTAATCATTGACCATCTCAGAAGCCATAATGGATTATAGATCTGATTTAGACACAATCAGGTGCTGAAGCCACATGGACAAAAACCTTGCCTGCCACAAAAGATAGTGTTGAGTTAGATACATCAACTGTATGCATAAGTTTATCCAAAAACATAAGAGTAAGGGCTCACTTGCATATTGGTAGTCCTTGACATAACCACACCCAAAAATCTTGAATAAAATCAGGTCTTGACCCATCAAATAAAGTTACTGTCAACTTCGAATCCCACTCAATTTTCAGTAAAGAGCATGGTAGAGTGCAATCATGTTCTTATTAGTAAGAGAGAAATCAACTTTTTCATTGGCATCGAAAAGTTAAGGTTACAAAAGCACAAATTTAGAGAAGAGCATGAATGGTGAGGCAAAGTTAAGGGATTCTGCCCAAGCCATGAGTATTACCAAACTCATAAAGATCATCAAGAAAAATAAGAACAGTAAGATTACAGAAGACGACAAGCACCACAGGTGAATACAATGAAAAAAAGGCACACACGTACACTTTCCAATTGGATAAAGGCAGTTCAATGTATTCAAGCATATTAAGGGTTTGCTTTGCAAAGGTTAATAGAACCCTGTCCATGCAGAGTATAAATGTTCTAGATGGGTGATAGCTAGAGGACTATGCACCTGCCTAGAACTTATCACAAGGTGCCAGGCTCTATTTAGCACAGGATAAGGCTAAAATTTCATCGCATTAAAGCAAAACATGCTATGAGAATCCATGGGACATTAATACCATGGATTCTTTCAAGTGATGGGAAATAGGCCAATAAAAGCTTCACAACAATCAGTTCAGCTGTTGAACCCCCAAAAGTGCTTCATCAGTGCCGTTTGAAGTCCTTCTCTTATAGTTCTTTTCATCAAATTCACGCGTTCTTTCAGATAATCTACAACTTTCACGTCAGATGCAATCCCACAGGAAAGGGCCTAGAAGACAAAGTTGATGAAATCACAATCACAAGCATGGATTAACTATTCTACAAATTAACAATACTAATTGTACCACCATGCTTAAATTTTAGCAAAACTCCCAACTTAGACAAGTTGCAGGACCTCCAAAGTAAGAATGCAAGCAATCTCCTTGAAATCATATCTAATACTGGTGAATTTTAGATGTGTCAAGGATTGAATTTGACTTGGAAGCCTCAGGGGAATATCTTCGTTACCTGCAGCCAGATACTACTTGGAAGTAGTAGTAGACGACCATTAAAAGATATAAAATCAGTTAGCAATTGCTGACAAAAGACATGCCCAAGTTCAACAGTTACTTGGGTTAGAGTAGGATGATATCTAATTCCATGTAATTTAAAGACACAAGAAAAAAGAGACATAGTAGTAGTAAAATTGAACACCTTGAGAGAAGGTCCATCCAGAAGAAGATACGTAAGTTTGGCTCCAGCAGCCAAGCTTTTTCAAAGGAACATTGGTATTCTTATCGTGTCTAAGATTTTGAATTCCTGATAACATTGTGTATTGATATGGACATCTGCTAACATTTTGCACATAGTATAATAGTTCGAATCAATATTACAATTCCTAAAATGAACCAATCTTTCAAGTGATGGACCACGTGATCTGAAGCAACACAAAGACCCTGGCAGCCTCTCAAGAAGTCCAGCACGACAAGATGATTAGATATAGCAGCAATCATTGGTTAATCTACTATCTTTTTACAATAGCCAAGGTTTAATTTATAAAGATGGATGTCAAATTTAACAATTCGAGCAGCAGTTGATTATTGTTCTGTTTCTAAACAATGCATGCAAATTTGTGCCATAAAAAAAAAAAAAAGTGGGATTGCAAATGGGGCCAAGAAACACTAGAATTTAATAATGCAGAAAAGATTTTAACAACAAAAGATATACATTGACTTGGAATTTGAGGTTTCTACTGCAAAGAAGCAACAAAAGCAGATGGGGAAGCAATTACCTGTTGATTCTTCTAGTTCTCTAATTATTGAATAACAGTTGCAGCTGTAAAGCTCTCAAGGGCTATAGGCAGTTGAACGCAGCGACCTCCCAACTGTGGCCTTCTCTGAAAATCCCAACCATCAAAAAGGTATAAAATTCAGCAAAAAAATCAGAAAAATTTCACTGTTAAGTGTTGCAGAAAAAAGTTTTAGCTTCATAGGAGGAAGAGACGAAGAAGAAGGAGACGGCCCAATTAGTCCTTCAGCCCAACAACCAAAATATCTATTCACTTCGTGAGTCGGATGCAGACTCGTTTTTTACTGAATTTGGGCTACTGGGTCCAGGATTCAAGCCCAAATACTTGTTTTAGACTTTTGAGCACATCATTGTCTATTAAAAAACACACCTAAATTCCTTGCTTGATATGGGCTGTGGGGTCGAGGTCTTTGTCTATATTTCTTGTTTTCTTCCTCATTTGAAAGGAAATATATATATATATATATTGACTTGTGACGGTGATACGAGTTAAAACATGTGGTTTTCGAACGTATCTTGACTTGTGACGGTGATCCAAGCTAAGATTACTTGACCTTTTCTTGATAAAAAGCAAAACGATAACGATAACCCTGTGAGAAAAGAATTTATTTTTTGGGCTTGTACATTCATGTATTTTCATTCCTAGTAGGCTAGAAGAAAATACGTACTATTATTATATTAGACAATCTTGCACTTTTCGCCCAAGAGAACTTAAGCCATAAAGCACAAGCAATTTCACATTTAGGCTACTTTCATGACTTGGTCCATCAAGATTAGAATAGCACGTAAGGATATTGGTGGTCCATGAGGCATTGTATTGTTTTATTCTTCTCCTTCAATATTCTTGTAAGGTTGAAGTTTTCTTAATTAGGGAAAACTTATCAACATAAATCAATATGGTGGTCATGTCGAACAAAAGCAAATTTTGTAACTAAGAGTTGAAAATTGTTTCGGGCTATATGCTTAGATTTTGACACTCAATATCGCCAATTTAGCACCCCAATTATTCTGGTTATATAAAAGAAATGAGTCAAATAGTCACGTAATCTTCTTGGTATAAATGGCTGGCTATCCTTCTACTATTCCGTAAGAAAGTACCAAGGGAATTGGACTCTTTCGGCCATATTAATTGGCTCACCAGTCGGTCCAAGTTAACTGTGCATTGATTTCGCCATTTTGTGTGATTGAAAAAAAAAATGAGGAGTTGAAGCTTCATGGTCCAAAAGAATTATTCAGGGACCTAAGATGAATACTGGAGATTAGCAGCTTCAGAATTTCTTGTCACAAACTGACAATGGTTTATATGTATTTGCAAATTACTCTTTGGGGGAAGCAAGAAAATGTGTTGAAAAGAGTTAAATAGTCATGATTTGTTAGTGAAGGTACCCTTGTATTGGAGGGAAATTAAGGAATGCAACGCATATGACTTCTAAAAAAAAAGTTATTGCTAAGTGAAAAACTTTGCCAAATCCCTTCAAATCTACGGAATATTTGCTTGATTAAACAGTTCAATTAGTCGATGAAGAGGATGAATTTGGCCATTAAACAAGCATTAAAGTGATTCTGTAAAGAATTGAGCTACTCAAGGAATAGTTGCTATGATTCATTTGTTGATGTGAAATTGCAGAGACTTTAGAATTTGGTTTCATTTGGTGCAAAAATTTGGCTTCACTTTTGTTTTGTATTGCACCTTCTACTGAATATATGCTAGATAGAAAGGTATTAATGCAACAGTCATATATTTGACCATTGGGGGTATGAGAAGCTAAAGATAATTTTCAAAGAAAAATGTTCAAGTGGAGTGACAGAGTTGAAAAGCACCAACATATTGTTAACTTAAGGTAATAAAGAGCATAATTCCGAAGTTAGAGGGGCATAAAGTGTAACTAATAAGTAACCAAAACCTTCAGGGGGAAAAGTGTGATTAACCCTAAACAATCTCACATCTTTTACATCTTCCCATTAAACAATTTCAACTTTTTACAAATAGATCAAAATGTTTTTGTAAAGCCACTACTAATACCATGTCCCAACTAATAATACCTCTCACAAGTGACTACTTTAATGACCAAATTCATGATCCCCATCATCCCATACACCAAGTGATTCAACCCGAAGTATGTACACAAAATAAACCAATAAATACCATGAAAGATGGCATATGGTCCTGAATACCACATTCTAACGTATGGGACCAAGCCAACCTTGGCTTGCCTGATTTTCCATACTTGAAATGCAAGTTCATAGCATGTGTATAACTGCATAAATACTCCTCAGCTTTAGATGTAAAGGCAAGCTCCTGTCGGAGAGCACATGACTGTGCTGTCAATGAATGAATAGACACCATAGACCTTACTCTAGAAATAATACTTCATGAATTAATACTATGACAAATGCAAATATGGGCTCTCATGATCCCGTGTACCATGCCAGCTTAAGAATTCTACATAAATCAAAGACTGATCATTAATTGATTCACCATGCAGGCATTATATGTTCTGCAATGCTTGCAAGACCATAAATGTTGTGTGGAAAGAAACTTCCTTTGAAGGTGGAATCATGACATTTCTTTTGTGGAAAGGTGCATCTTTCTTTCTCTAGGCTTAAATTCTTGATCGTGCAACAACCTCTCTAGAAGGTAAATGAGCATGGATTCAATAAATTCTTTGTGCATGAGCTTCACAAGTTTTGAAAAGGGTTGAAGAAAAGAGGAAAAAATTATTGTTACCCCCCTTTTCACTTTGAGGATGATATTCAATATTCATGACTAATGAGAGGATGGACTTATGGCACATATTTCATCTTTTCAGTGCCTTGGCTTGGTGGGTTGTAGGGAGTAGGACTATGTGTGAGTGGTTAGGATCAGTTTAGCAGCTTGCAAAAGTCAAACCCTCCACATGCATCTGCATTTAAGAGAGGGAAGAATTGCAATTTTCCAATGCATTCTTCCTGGCTGCAGATTATCTTAGGAATTTTCAATTCCAAGAAGATTCTGAAGTAGACAAAACCATTGGTTGAGTGTGCTGGAAATTTTGTTGCTTAATTTAATTTAATGGGAATTCTGTTATTTTCTTTAATGTTGAGGTTGACGGAATGCCAAATCCTTTTCATATCTGGGCATTTATTGAAACTAGTCTATTATTGGACGTCGATTTAGAAGAAATCAACAAGAAAAATGAATTGGAGACTGACATTTTTGCATGGAGACCAGTTGATGAAAGTAGCACAAATGCAGCTTATGAATGCAGAAATTTCTCTAAAAAAGTTACTAAAATAGGAGGAGAAATTCAACAAGTTCTTGAGCTGTAAATAAACACTATCCTTTGGTAAAAAAAAAACACTATCCTACTTTAAGGTATTTATTGCCCCTACTACATTCTGACAGTAGTTTGCTATGTACTGAGTTAAAGCAATATACCTTTAAAATACAACAAAGAACAAAAACCCTTGTCACCCAAAAAACAAAAGTTAAATAATAAGAAATGATCAAATGATTAAAGTTAGTTTAATTTGTGATGAGACTTATTAATTTATAAGAAAATGGTGTATCTTCAAAACACAACTTTTGGCACGAAAAATAACCACCATTTTGATCTGGACCGGATTCAATTCACGAAAGTTAGAAACTTTCTGGATAGGATCTGGCTTTGAATTCGGCTAAAGCTAGCTTCAATCCCAGGCCGGATTTGCACAGTCTAGTAAATTCCACTTCCGTGAATTAAAATTTTTTTTGACAAACTAAACCAACAAGACCAAATAAGTTTTATGAGAACTTGCAAATTCATCTGAAATTAACCTACAGAATCAAATTTTAGAAAGATATTGCATCACTAATCGCTTAATTTGTTATATTGGCACTAATTTAATGTTAGAGTTCCATAAAAAAACATATTATTTAATGATTGTTCATCTGCATATTAAAAAGTTTTACAGTTAACCTTCCTTTTACTTTGTACAAGATAAATACGAATTAAAAATACTAGAATTGATACAGATAGATTACAGAAAAACTACTTAACGACTGACACAGTTGAAACAAACACAGCAGGAATGACTTGTATTTAGAATTTCTAATTCTTGTGACATTAACTTTAGTTGTTGTACAAATTGACCTTTCTTGAATGTAGACTTTAACCCAACCTAGAACTTCTCTACCATGGCTCATAGCAACCATAGGGCAGCGGGAGAGGCAGCCGCCCACCCCCAATCCAAAAAAAAAAAAAAAAAAAATTTAGATCATTTCTTATATAGTACTATGTATTTTGACTTGAGAACATTTCATGGTTTAAGTTTTCGCCCCTCCAAAATTTTTTCTTTATGAAACTCCCCTGAAACTTGGGGATGTGCAACAAATGGCAGTGTAATAACAGTGGCCAATCCAAATTATAACTATTTAATAAATTTAAACTTACATTTAAAATAATTAAAGTTCGTGTTGTCATGTCTACCTAACAATTTCATCCATTATTTTCGAATATAATAACATATGATTGTCGTGCTTTTTTTTTTTTTTGAGTGTCTACTGCAACTATGGAGCATGCATTCTTTGTTTAGACTCATTAAAACTTTATTGCGAAAGCATGG